TCCACTGTCACAACTTTACCCAATGATTCTAGCTTTCTGGGTTATTCCAAATTGTAGAATCTCGGTGTTCAGAATACCTAACAGTCATTCATTCTGATCACCTTTGCAGGATGTGAATCCCACCTACAGCATGTGTAAAACTGATCCAGCCTAGTAATGGAGACCTTATTTTCTCCCATGGCAATTTTCAGTGTTAGGAAGAAAATTCAAATTTATCTATTCATCTCTTACCCACTGTATGCTGAACTTCTAAGGGCTGCTTCTACATGACATCTCTTTAAATATTTAAAGAGAACAATCAATCCGCCTTCTTTCTTTAGGCTAAATATCCTCCATTCCTTCACCATTTAGGTTGTTGAAGACAGAGGAACATTTATCTCCTTTATTATAGCTACTGTATGTCTATTAATACAACCCAAGGTCATATTATTTTCATTTTTTTGGAGAGTCACATGTTGACTTTTATTAAGCTTGCAATTGAATAAAATATTTAAACCTTTTCCATAAATGGTTCTGCAATATCACTGTCTCACTGCCTTGTAATTTTGTAGTTTGGCTCTGGAATTGGTTGAATTTCATGTTCTTTTGTTCTATCTGGCCTTCTGGCTTTCTGTCTTCTCTTTCTGCCATTCACTATACTAGCTTTTCTTCTCAAGATCATGATCTTTAAATGTGATGAGCAGGAGTTCCATACTTTTAACCATGTGGTCATGACAGAGACAGACCTTTGTGGGACCTGGCCAGATCAGGACAGAGAAGGGGCCGAGGGAGGGAGGGGTCACAGGAAACGGGGTGAAGCCATGCTGCTAATGCAGCACCTGGCAGCGGATTTCCCAGGCAGAGATGTGGAAGGAGGGGGCTCTGTGCAGAGTCTTCTCAAGGCTGGTGAGGGTGATTGACAGAGGGGAAGGCCCTCCTACTTCCTTCCTGAACGTGCCAGGGGGAGGGGAGGTGCTGACCTACCAGTCTAGCCTGGGAAAAGGGCAGGATTGGCTGGGGAGCTGGACCCATCCAGAGTGCACGGAATTTTGGGCCAGGAAATTTAAAAGAAGGGAAGGGAGAAACATGTCTGATTTTTTGCTGGGAGCTGGACTAGGAGGTGCAGCATGAGTGCACCAGCAGGCCTTGGAAGCTGCCTGGCCAGGAGGCAGGCCCTGCCCCCAGCAAGGGTGGTGGTTGCTGTGGCTGTGCTCGAAGACTACAGGGAGAAGCCTGAAGCAGGAACAAGCTGAGCCGCTTGCATGATCGTGCAGCAGCTGCCTGTGGTTCTCTCAAAGGACAGTATCTTTTAAATGGGAGAAAGAGCTCCCAGTGCAGCCTTGGATTGGTCTGGGAGAGGGTGGTGGGGTTTTTCTCTGGGTGTCCTGAAGGGGGTGGGCTCTGAGGCAGAAGACCACCATTCTTCCAAATTGCATGGCTTTTGAATAAATGACCTCTTTCCTTTTTCACCAAACCTCTGCCTCTGGAGTTTGCTTATGGGCAGTGGGCAGCAGAACCTCAATTTCTGTTCCGTAACAATTGGACAGGCAACATTCTGTGGTCTACCACTGGAAATCTCTTTTTAGGCCAGCAGTTATCTGTTAATCTGTGCTTGATTGTCCCTTTTCTTGTTACAGATCCCTCCTAAGTGATTCACATTTCTCTGACTTGACCACAAAGATCTTATAGGAGACTTTGTTAAATTTCTTTATACTATCTGGCTGCATTGTATGTAGAACATTTCCCTAAGTCAGCCCTTTAACTCTCTCTCTGTATATATAAAGAAATAACAAGTTTAAAAATTTGACCTATTTTACATCAAACCTGGGGTGGGACAGTGGGTTGGTGGTAAGCAGACTGTGAAGGAGTTATAACTTTGCTAAGGGTTATGCCTTTATTTTGTGGACAGTAGGGAACTCCAGCCATTGAACATAGAAGCAACATGATTGCATCTGAGTTTGATGCTTGGGGCTGGTGGCTGCCGAGATGTGGAGAGAAGCTGAGAAACTGAGCACATGAAGCCCTGGGGCTGGCGTGTGCAGTGTGCATAGTTCGTTGAGGACAGAGTTCTGAAGCCGAGGCCAGCAGCCTTTGGTCAGAGCACATTTTCCCAACTGAAGTGATGGTCTTGAGACATTGCTAAAACTCCTTCAAAATCAGAGTGGCTGTAGGACTTCTGCCTTATATTGAGCCCAAATCTCACCCCTTGCAACGGCCTTTTGTTTGTCCTACTTTGCTCCTTGTGAGCCATTTTAAAAGTTTATTTATTCTTCTTTCTACATAACAACTTTTTAAATATTTCAAAATAGGCCCATATTTCTTTTATTCATGCCAAAGATATCCAGTTTCTGTACTAGAAATGTTACTGACTTAGCATTGTCTGAGGCACGAGAGTAACTCTTATGCAATGGACTTTAATGGAAAAATGTAAATTTACTATTTTATTTTAATCTTATTTTTGTGCCACTGGGGTTTCATATATAACCCCCCAAATATTTTTAAAATTAAAATAAACCCATCTTCAAAAAATATGTGAATTATAGCTCCCTAAGTTTTCTTGCTGCAAAACCAAGATTTTTATGGAAAAAAAAAACAACCCACAGAAACTCCATTAATTAGACGTTTTGGAAAAAAAATTATGAAAACTTATTATTAGTTGATATTTTTGCTTAAAAATGTTTTTTTCTATAAGTTTTTAATGTTGAAAACAGTTTTCTAACATTGTATAGTAAAAGGAGAATAAAGTCTTTTCAGTTTATGAGTTTTGTAGGAGATTCTGCTACTGTCCCATTTATCCACGATAGAAGCATTTAAAAAGCAACCTGTTTTTTTCCACGAGTTATTTCTTACCAAAGCAGCAAGAGACAACAAGGAGACAGGTTGAACCAGGTGAAGGAAATGAGATGGAGAAAGATTTCTTGATGTCTTGGCTAGAGCAAAGCAGCTATGGGAATTTAAAGTGAGATTACAAAAATGAAGATTTAGCCGTTGATGGATGATAAGTCTGGTGTGAGAATGAGGATTTTAGCTTTGACATCATAGACAAAATAGAAACTACTGCAATTCCTTAGGTGAGAGGTAGTGAATTACAATGTCAGCAAAAAAACAAAAACAAAAACAAATTATCTGTGTGCTCATGAACTAAAGTGATCTAGGAGATCAGTGGGAACTTGCAGTAAACTAGAAGTGAGATTTTAAATAAAGAATGTGTTTTGATTTTGATGAAGGTAATGACAAGGAAAGAATATTGTAGAGAAAGAATTTGCTGGACAAAGGAGAGAGAAGTCATTCTATGTATGTTAATGGTGCATGACAGGCTGGGGCCTCGGAGTAGTTTTACATCTTCACTGAATCAGAGATTCTGAACCAGGCCCAACTGACATTTGTGGCTTGCTAATTCTTTTTTGGGAGTGGGGAGTAGGGGCTTGCCCTATGCATTAAAAGATATTTAGCAGCAGCTTAACTTCTAGCCACTAGAGGCCCATAACTGTGACACAAAAATGCCTCCAGTTATTTCCAGCTATTCCGAGAGCTAATTTGCCCCAGCTGAGAGCGATTGCCCTAGACCACAGGTGGCAAACCCAAGGCCCACAGCCCGAATCCAGCCCTCCACCTTGTTTTATCCGGCCTGGTACCTTTTTTCTACCCGGCGGCGGCAGCACTGAGCCCTCACTTAACTGTTGAGGAGTAGTTACATTTACACAGCCCTACAATTACATTCAGCCTTTGAAGACAATCACGAGGCTGATGTGGCCCCCCCGTGAAAATGAGTTTGACACCCCTGCCCTCCACCCTTCCCTGGGCACAGCCACCCGCCATGTCCCTGGAGAAGCTGTGCTGACAGTCAACGTTTTTTCCTACTCATTCAGCTACCACCTCTGACCTGTGACCGTTGGACAGAAAGATATAAGTTGGAAGATGGAGAGGAGGACCGAAACCTCAAAAAGGTTTTTTAAATACAATAAGTGTGTTCTGTAAACTAAAGTATGATTTACTTTATTGAAGTTATAAGGATTTTCTTGCCCTTATTTTCTGTTTGAGTAACTCCTTCCTTTAGACTATTTTCTGTTTAATTATTCTCCTTTCTCCTCTCATTTCTTGAACTTTGCCTTCTTATTCTGCTTTGATGTTTTTTCCATCTTATCAAATCTGTATATTTAATTTTGTTACTGCAAATCATTTTTAGAAGCAGGAGAGGTATTAATAAACTAGAGTAAAAAATTATACTAGCATCTATCACTTCTGTTAGCAGTTTATCTTAACTCCACATTTTTAGAAAAATCACAATTTGAAATTCAATATCAATCAAGGATTTACAACTTAATTTTAAAAACTAAGTGCAGATTAAAAGCAAAATTGATGACAAAGAAGTGGTGAACTGAAATTATCTTTTTTACTTTTAAATTTTATTTTAATCAATAGGTATCATTTGCCAGAGAACTGTAATTTTTCTAGTCTTTCATCATTTTTATTAATCTCTTGCTAATAGCTGACTTCTTAAAAACAGATTCTTTCTGTAGTGGAATTAGCATTATTTCCCTCCTCTTCCCTACTCAGTTTTTGATGATGCTCTTTTCTTTGTGGTAGGCTTTTGATAAGAGATTGGAATCTTTAATATTTCTTGCCCATTGAGGGACAAAAGTTCTGCTTGATTATAACCCAACTGTCTGCTACAGCATTTCCAGGTGTGGCTACTGACCATCGTGGGTGGGTCTTTGAGGTAGACCACCCGCAGCCTGTTTGGAGCCCATTAGCCTAGGGCTACAGCCTACACTAGGCATTTGCTCAACTGCCCATCCTCCTCATTTACAGAACCCTGATTTTTTTTTTTTCCTTTTTTAAGAATACCTGGTCCTACTTAGACCAATTGCAATGTTTGGGATGTATATCGATCTCAAGTCAACAAACTCTTTAAACAAACACATACACACTCACATTTATGAGATAATTGGAGATATCTGAACACTAACAGGATATTTGTGGATATCATGAAAGTTATTTTTTAAGATGTGATCATTGCATTGTAGTTTTGTTTTTCAAGAGTCTTGCCCTTTTAAAGATGTATACAGATATATTTACAGATGAAATGACACAATAGCTATATTTACTTCAAAATAATCTAGGGGAGGAGGTAGGGAAGTGAAAGGGATATAGACCAAAGGGGATGGGCCATGAATTAATTATGGAGCCAGAAGATGGGTACCTGGGATGGGGCTTATTATTTGATTCATTATGCACTTCTTTCTACTTAAGTATATGTTTAAAATTTTATTTGGTACAATAATAACTATTCATCATTACATCTAATGATAGCAAAAGTTAGGGGAAAAAGATAAAGGATACAACTTTTGCTCCATGGCTAGGTACTTGGGAAAGAGCCTCTCTCCAGTTTGTGAGGGTACATTGAATATCTTGATCATTTTAGATGGTTTTATTTCCCTTTTCAGAGACTGATTTAGGCAGAGCATGCTATGTGATTCTTACCTAGGAGGAGAGAGAAAGTTTGCTGGGGGTTTAAGGAAGAGTTTTCTTACACCTAAGAGAAAAAACATTGGAGAAGGTGGTCTCTTCTTCCTCTGGATCTGGCTGTGATGGGATATGACATCTGGAACTGTTGCAGCTATCTTGTGACTGTGAGGGTCTAGCCTGAGAATGAAGTGCAAGTGACACTCAGGACTGCAGAGCAGCAAATGGAAATTTCCCAGGTTCTTGAAAAGATCGTTGAGCTCTAAAACAAACAACACAGAATTCTCCTTACATCTAGGTTTATTGTTATGTAAAGTAGTAAATCTTATTGTTTAAGCCATTTTGAGTTACCTTTTTTTCTGCTAGGTGCATTTAAGTAGACTATGTTCACACTTGACAACACAGAAGTTATACTCTGTACAGGCAAATACCCTAAAGAAACTGTTGCACATGTAAGCCAGGAGGCATATTCAAGAATATTTATAACAAAAAACAATATTTATAACATTATAATTGATGATAGCACCAAACTGGATGCATCCAGCTATCTATCCATAGTCAAGTGGGTTAATGAGATACAATATAATCACACAGCGGACTCTTGTACAACAATAAAATGAACAAACTATAGTTGTATACATCAATCTAGTTGAATCTCAGAAATATGTTGAATGAAAAATGTCAGACATAAAAGTTTACATATAATGATGTGATTCCATTAAATAAACAAAACTAAAAATACCTTGTTTAGAGATACATAGCTAAGTGGTGAAACTGGAGGAAAGTAGGTGAACAGTCATCACCTGAGCGGGAGAGTGTTTCCTCTGGAGGGAGGAGGAGGTGGCAGTGCAGTGAGGACAGTGCAGTGTGGGGGCATGCAAGGGTCCCTAAGGGACAGGTAGAGTGTTCTAGATCTCTGCCTGGTGGGATAGTTCTGTAAGTGCTTGCTTTATGATTTTTAAAAATGTACCTTTGTTTAATTTACTTTTCTATATATATCTTCAATACTTCAATAGAATTTTTTAAAAGTCTTTGTCAATGCAGGCAATGTTAAATAGTAAAACAAGGAGCTAACTATAAAGTAAAAATAATTAAAACCAAGATTGCTACTTACATTATTCTTGCTTTGAGTTTGCATTGTAAGGACTCAGTTTCTGTTTCTGTAAATGGGGGAGATGAACGAATAGAGTTACTTCTTACTGTAATTTTTAATTTTTTCTACCAGGCACCACCTCATTCTGCCTTTTCTTTCTTTTTCAAGCCTACTAGCTGTTGGCCTTGAGTACAAACTCTGTGAGACTTGTGCATTTGTACAGGGAGCCATACAATCTTCTGTAGTAAATGCAACTAGAAAAACAGCAGGGCCTTTGGAAAGCCCTGAAATGCATCTCTGGGCAGGGCCCAGGAAAGAGGGTCAGTCTTGGGTCATTAACTGCCTTGAATTCTCAGATTGCTCCTGGTGTTTCTTCTCATTCTGAACTGGGCTTTGATGGTCCATTTTCAAATCTCTTCTTCTGCGCTTTCTTGAAATAATATTTTCACATAAGGCTTATAGCTTATGCTTCAGAGTTTCTCTGAGACATTTTCATTCTCAGAGATGCTGTCACTCTCTGGGAGGTTCATGGAGTATTTACAGAAACCTCTATTCAACATGAAAGAAAAAAGTACTTGACAAATGTCTTCTGTGATACTGACTTTTCTCTGCTTAGAGTGGCACATATTTTTAAAAGGCCTTACTGCGGTTAAATAGCACAATTTAGGACTGGAAAATGTAAAGACTTCCATCAGTTTTCTTACATTACTTATTTTTCTTTGGCTCATTTACCTCTATTAGTGATTTCTTTGTTAATGATGTAAGTTCAGGATAGTCTCTTTTTAGCTAAAGATAATGAAGGGGTTTTCTCAGGCAAAATCGAGTTAGGAAAAGAGCTGAAGGTAGTTAAAAACAAAGTTTGTTGTCACTGGTCAATGCAAGGACGAGAGAGTCATGGAGTTGACATGGAAAGAGTGCCGAACTCTTGAGGCCACCTGAGCTTTATCCTCATGGAGGCTGCTATGGAGTGACTCGCACCACCTGCTCTGGGCTTTGGCTGCACTTGGCTGGCGCCCTAAGTTAAAGAAAGTGGACTTTCATTCATGAAAGGCCATCTCAGTTTCTCTCCTCCTCTTCTTTTTTTTGTTGTTGAGAACTTTAACAAATTGCTCACTGTTACTCTGAACATTCCTGTTAGAATTCTACATGTTTTTAAAATCCATGTAGACTGAAAACAAAGATATGGGCTCTCCTGGTCACCAAGTTCTCACCACTCCAAACTGTCACTTGACATTTTTATGTTATTTCTCAGTCCCTAAAACCATTCACATTTGGAAGCTGTAGTTATAAAATCAGCAGAGGTTAGGAAATTAGCAGTGTTTGATGATTCCTGACATGCAGGATTTGCAACCAGAAGAAATTATATGAAGGAACAATAATAGGACTACTTGAAAATCATTAATGTAGAGTAAATAAAAGTGAGCATTTTTCAAAAGTGAGTAGAAATATGATAGAACTCATAATCCTAAAATACCATATAAAAACCTTTAAAGTTAAATGAGCAGAAAATTTTATAGATGAAATTGAAATATTTTAAGCATTTTTTTTTTACTATTTAAAGCAAGCCTCAAGGAAAACTGTTTCCCATCAAATGTATTTCTCTACTGAGAAATTTCTCTTCTGAGGTCAGATTGAGAAAGCTCTTCTAGCTGGACCACAGATTGAGAGCACCATTGCTTTCTTATGGACAAAAATATGATATTTAGTCGTTGATTATTAACATTTGTTTTCCTTTTCGAACTTAAACCTGGTGGGTCTACAGACCTTTGCTCTCCTTTGATCCTCTACATTCTTACTTCTTCAGGTCACTTAGTGCTATGTTGATGTGCTATCATATTCGTGTAGAAATGCGGTTTTCGACCCATGCTCTGGATTGCTTTTCACAGCATTGATGGATTTGCAATAATCTGTCTCTCCATAGTGCCATGCCCTTGTGAGCAATACACATTTTTAAAAGCCTTACTGTGGAATTAAATGAAGCTAACTGATTTACACGCCTCAGTCCCTTCAGCATTCATCCATTGACTGTGTTAAAGAAAGAGTGAGTGCTTAGTTCAATAGTTACAGTATGAAAGTTTCAGCCTGTGACTTTGATCTGCTTGAAACAGCTGAGTATGAAGCAGAATAATGATTCTTAGACTTTGGGATATCAGAGATCAGTGAAATTTCAGGAAAAAAAATGGGGAAACAGCTTTGGTGACCTGATTTTTGTAGATGCAAATATGAAAAAACGTCCCACAGCCACTATTAACTTTAAGAGTTATAATAGAATGGGCTTTTTGGTACTAAAATGGTTGTAAGAATAATCTGAGAATTTAAAATATTAAATGAATGGCTTTATGAAAATTCAATTCTTTAGCATCTTCAGTTGGTCCAGAGAAGAGCATGTCTTAGACTTGTGGCTGTCCATGGACCATCATTTGGTATTTTTCTATTCTAAACATTTTATTATTTTTGTTTCATGAAAAAAAAACCCTGGGTACAATATATAAAGTTTTTTTATTTTTAATATATTCTTTATTATATTTTTTCCATTACCATTGAGTCCCATTACACCTCCCTTCCCCCAGCAATCACCACACTGTTGTCTCTGTCCATGAGTCCTTTTTCCTTTTTGCTTCATCCCTCCACCCCCTAAATCCCCCAATGTTGGGAACTGCCCTGCCTGGTTTCAGGAGTTGTAACCCCCCATGGCAAAGGCTGAATGAGTGACCTTTGGACCATAAGCCACTAAGAAGATAAAGCTTATCTCCCTGGAAAGAGCACTGCTTCTGCTTTTTCTATAACTGGACCCCAATGCTTGATCAGTTAGCCAGTGATGGGTAAAATTCCCCAAGGGGGGAACAATCTAAGAGAGGCATGATCACATGAGGCCCCAGGGAAGGACTTGGGGGGCTATGGAGAAAGGGGATGATGGACCCTTGCCCCTTGGCCTTGACAAAGCCTGAGTCCTCATTCTGCCTGCGAGAAGTCTCCTAATATCTTGGCTGCCTTACTTCCCCTGCCTTACTTAATCCTGAAACAATGACAGAGGGTGGTGTATCCCTGTGCTGGAAAGGGCAGGTTCCCCAGGTAATCAGACCTGAGAAAGAACACATAAACTCCTGCGAAACCTGATTTGCTAAGAATGCTCTTAATTAAATGATAAAGGTCTGAGAAGGAAATGACTTTGTTTCCCAAAGTTTTGTAGTCTTTTAGCTGATAGACCCTGACTCAGAATAGGCCCTCAGAGTTCTTTGTATGTTATCTATTGTTTGATCCTTACTGCCTGACAATGATTAATGAACTTTACCTGTATTCCTGGGCAAATTGAAAGCCAATAAAAAACTGGTGAAGGCAAGGATTGGCATTCTCTCCCCTAGAGAGAGTGGCCAGGCTGCTCTGAGGCACCCTGCCCTTGAGAGGGTAGCCGTGCAGCCCCTTTTCCTCCACAGCACTCAGTAGTCCATGTGAATATCTCCTTTCATCCATAATGCCACGGACACTGCCAGCTGGTGCACGTGTCACCCCAACCTCCAATTAGCTGTCAGCTGTTCTTCATCTATGAGTCTGTCTCTGTTTTGCCTGTTAGTTCAGTTTGTTCATTAAATTCCACATATGAGTGGAATCATATGGTATTTGTCTTTCATGATTCATAACAATATTGCTCTTTGGTATATGCCAAAGTGTAATTGCTGAGTTGTAAGGTATGTGAACTTTCAGTTTAATAGAAATGATATTAAATTGCTCTTCAAAGTGTTCAGGCTAATTTATTTTTCCACTGGTTTCATATGAGGATACAATTTCCCCTACTTCACTAACTCAACATTTGTGGTCTTAAGAATTCTTGCCAATACTATAGATAAAAAATGGTATATTATTTTAATTTGATTTTTTTAAAGTTTTGCAAAAAGATTTATTCTGGATGCTGTTCCTTTATATCTAATCCTATTACTTTTCAATGCTTTTTGCATTTTAATTATGTTTATTTTAAAATTTTAAAGTATGTATATAGAAGAGTGCATATATGAGGTCTGTCCAGAAGGTATCCACCCATGTAATATGAAAAAACAGAGACATTTATTGAAGATACAAGATACAAGAAATATACATAGGACAATGTCGCCTCAGTCCCCTTTAAAGTAGGCACCTTTGGATCTCACTCAGTTCTCCCAGTCACCATTAGCTGCCCCATCGTATTTTCCTGAATCTCTTCAATGATCTGAAATCCCTTCCATTTCAAAAGTGATTTTAGTTTTGGGAAAAGCCATAAGTTGCAGAGCACCAAATCTGGGCTGTAGCAGGGCTGAGTCACCTGGGTGATTTGATGTTTTGCCAAAAAATTGCATGAGATGTGATGCATGAATGGTCACATTGTCGTCATGAAGCTGTCAATCACTGTTGCCCATAGTTGTGGTCTTTTGAATCATATGAATAGTTTCTGTGGAAGAATGTTCAAGTTTAATGCAAAATTTGCTGCAGTTTCATTGCTCTACTTGCTCAGTCATTTTGAATGAGATGGCCACACAGAACCTATGCTCACTCAATGGTGACTACCACCCCCACTGACTGGCACAGTGAAGTCATCATTGTTCACACATGTGCATTCCAGTCCACTCTCCTTGGCTGCCAGGTTACATCAGTGTTGCACAAACTGTTCTTGTTATATTAACAATGGCTGGATTTTTTTCCAGACAGACCTTGTATATGTGTACAGCCTGATGGTTTTTCAAAATGTGTACTCATCACTTAGGTCAGAAGAAGAATACTTCACCAGCACTCAGACCCCCTTATGCCCTTCTCCACTTACTACCCACCCATTCCTTCCTCAAGAACCACTATTCTGATTTCAAACATCTTAGACTAGTTTTTGCCTGCTCTTAAAATTTACATAAAGGAATTTATATACTGTGAGTACATTTTGATGTTCAGCCTTTATATATTTAGTTTGGTCAAATATGTTTATCTTTATGCCTTTTTTTAGTGACTTGCTTAAAAAAATTTCCCACCTGAAATCATACTATCTTTTAATAAGTTTGCAGCTTTAATTTCCATATTTAGTTTCTTAACTCATCTGATTTTTTTCTG